TTAGTTCCATCCATCATTCCAGGTATTATAATGATGGCATTAGAAAACTTGGCCAAAAACAACTTGGTTAAAATGTCAGTAGGATCAATAGATATCTTTTCAACTGTTGTTGTTGTTTTTTTTAATTATAAAAGAATTTAAACATGGAAAATAAAACAGACATCTTTAAGACCAAAGCTTAAAATTTTGCCATATTTGCTTCAAGTATTTTTTCAAGGAAAACAAAATTTTGCAGATATGCTAAGTCCTGCTGTCCTGGATCCAGAAGGGCCTACATATGTGAAGCTAGAAGCTTCCTTTCCCTACATGATTCCCATGCATGTTTTGTATTTTTCTTAGTATGTTCATATTTATACATAACATTTTAGGGAAATTTTACATAAATGATACCTTCTGAAAACTAACTTTTGCAGCTTGCCTTTTCATTCAACATTATACAGATTTATTTGACAGATCATTCACTTTTTAAAAATATTTTTTTAAATATTTATTTTTTATTTGTAGTCAGACACAATACCTTTATTTTGTTTATTTATATGTTGTGCCGAGGATCGAACCCAGGGCCTCTCATGCTAGGTGAGCGCTCTACCGCTGAGCCACAACCCCAGCCCAGATCATCATTTTAAACATGGCATTTTATTCAAAGTATGCAAGTATACTTCACTAAGGGACAATTTGATTCATTTGTTTGCTTAATTTATTTTTTTTTACTCTTAACAATTTTTTTGAAAGTATCCTTATTTCTAGTTTTGTGTGCATTTATATAAGAGCTTCCTTGGATTGACACTTGCAGTAGAATTGCTAGGGGATCAGAACATGTTTGTTCTAGATGTTTGTTGCTACAGTATAGGATATTTGTAAATTTTCTTGAAGAAACTTCTAAAAGCTCTATTTGTAGTTTTATGAGTGTGTCTGTATATTTTGTAGAATTTTTCACATGATTGCATTATCTACAAATAATAGACTTTTTCTTTTTTAGTTGTTATGCCTTTAATTCTTATTGCTTTGTTAAGACTGCCTGTGTAATGTTGGATAGTGGTAACATAGAAAACATTTTTCTCTTGTTACTGACTTTAAAGGCAATACCTCAGGTGTTTCATTATTAAATTATGAATAAGCATGGTGTTTTTTTCCTATTCCCTGCCTTTTAGATTAGATCACTTCATTTGTTTTAATCCCATTCCCCCCTTATTGGCTATAAATGATAGATTACATTTCAAGTATTTTTAAAATTATTCTTAAATTTTAAATATATATTTGGCTTAAAAATGAGATTCATCAATTGTTCTGTCATTCTCTTGAACAATTAATGAGTTTTCTTATGTTACTTTGAATGCTTGTATTTTGTTGTTGTTATTTTTGGTACACCCAGGGGTGTAACCACTGTGCTACATCTCCAGACCTTTTTATTTTTTATTTTGAGACAGCATTGCAATAAGTTGCATAGAACCTCGCTACATTGCTAAGGCTGGCCTTGAACTTGCAATCCTCCTGTCTTAGCCTCCCAAGCCTCTGGGATTACAGGTGCACCACTATATCTAGCAATTGTGTGTCATTCTTGATTTTAAGTCAAGTAAAATAATAGCAAATTTTTCACTGTCTTTTTCAATGAGGGTTTCTTTACACTTATCCCATGTTTATTTTCTTGATTGCTATTGCTTCTTTTATTCCTTTCCTCTTTCAATTTCCAATTGAAGTTTATCCTTTGGTAGTTTTTTCAACAAAGGTCCTGTAGATAATAAACATTCTTAACATTTACCTGACGTTGTCTTTATATTGTAATTAATCCGAAATGGTAATCTACCTTGACATTGAATTCTAGATAAAGAAATTTATTTTTCTATCTCGTAGCTTTAAAATTATTTTATTATTATTATTACAAAATTATCCACTTTTTCTTTTCAGTTGCTTTTCATTTTTTTTCTCTTTTCCTTTGGTGTTCTGCATTTTCTAACTGTGAATTTATACTGGCCGTGACCTGTTTTACTTCTCAACTAAGAAGTCATATTTGTCACTAGTCCTATAACAACCTGTCAGCTATCAGCTCTTCAGACAGTATCCCTATTCTTTTTACTATAACATTTATTTGATATATCTTGTATCTTCTGATTGTTTCTATATTCCCTGTCTCTTTACTCGTCTTGTTCAATTTCCAGAAGTTCTACACGTATTTTAAAAACCTGTCTATTTTATAATGTTTGTTCATGTGCTTATGTTTTTGTACCTTATATATCTTCAATTATTTTAAATTATTAAAAATCTTTCAGACAGTTTTTTTATGTTCTGAAATTATTGTACTCTGGTCCTCCTGTTGCATCTCCCGTCTCCAGCTTATAGTGGATTGTTGCCTTATTTATTTTTGTGTTTTTTTCTAAAACTAATTTTTGGTAGAACTTACTTCTAAAGGATTTATGTGGGACTTTAGGTTTGGAGAACATCACTTTGAAATGATTTCCGATAACGTTTCCCTTGGGCTTATGCCATATATTCAGAATCCCGATTTGCACAATCCCAAAGTATACTTAGTCAAAATTCACCTGTCTTGTGGTCTTCCTATGCTAGCAGGTGGATTTACATAAACATTTTTCCTTAGAAGTGAAAAGCAAGTTTTCAGGAATCTTGGATTGTATGCAGGAGTCTCGGTTGGAGAAAATGCAAGCCAGATTCAGGTGCTGCTAAAATAATTTGACCAAGTGTGACTGCTGAAGACTGACAGGTCAGGGAAGAACTCTCTGATTAGATGACATTTTTTTTTGGACACAAACCTGAATAACAGTCAGTCAGTCCTGTAAAATCAACCATCTAACCAGAAATCTGAGATCAGCAAATATTGATTGATGTGAGCATTTTGGGCTCTCTAACTGAAAAGAGGCCAATTGTTTCAGATAGAGGCAGAAGAAAGTGCTTAAAATCCCTTATTTTATGTTCCCTTTTCAAGTATTTTAATGGAGACCACATAGTAAGGGTATTTTAATAATTCTGATAAGGGACTACATTCAAATACCTTTCCTTGAATAATATACCAAGGACCCTAGGCAGAAATGTTAAAACATCACATAGAATCTCTTAAGCTCATTTCGTTTTTTTTCTTTTTTTGAGGCAACTCCTAGTTGACCTTAAATTAGCAGAACCTTAAAGAATTATTTTAAAATAATTATAGATTCATAGGAAGTTGTAAAAATAATTACAAGAAAATCGCATGTACCATTACCCAGTTTTCCTCAATAGTAGTATCTTAAATAACTATAATACAACATCAAAACCTGGAAATAGAGACATCAGTACCATCTGTAGTGCTTATTCAGATTTCATGAGTCTTAAGCACTTCTCTGTGTGTGTAGTTTAATGTAACCACCATTGCAATCAAGATTCAGAAATGTACCATAAACACAAGATACTTTCCTACTACTTAATTATAGCCACACCTACCATTTCTGCTCATACCTAACCTTCTATCCATTTGTAGCTACACGTACCCCCTACTCATACCTAACCTTTGGCAAACAGTCATCTGTTATCCATTTCAAGATTTTTTTTCAGTGTTGGGGTTTGAAACCTGGGCTTTATGCATGCTAAACAAGCAGTCTTCCACTTAGCTATATCCCAATCCCATTTTAAGAATGTTTTATAAATGGGATAATACAGCTTCATGCAACACAATTCCCCTGAGATCATGCAATTTGTTGCATGTATTGGTAGTTTATTTCTTTCTATTACTATTACTTCATATTATGGAGGAACCACAATATAACCATTTAGCCATTGAAAAAAATTGGGCTGTTTCCAGCTTTGGCTATTTATGAACAAAGTGGCTATATACTTTCATGTATAGGTTTTTGTGTGAACATATATTTTCATTTATTTAGGGTAAATGTCTAGGAGTACAACTGCTGGTTTACATGGTAGGCACATGTTTAGTTTTTGTATAAACTGCCTTTTTTCCAGAGTGGGTGTATCATTTCACATTTCTAATATATGATTAATCCAAATTTTCCTTATCCTCACCAGCATTTGTTGTTAAACTATTCTGACAGGTTAAATAGAATAAGATATTCTGATATCTCACTGTGGTTTTAATTTTTGTTTCCCCAATGGCTAATAACATTGAACATATTTTCATGTACTTATTTGCCATCTGTACACTCTCTTTGGGAAATGTCTGCTTGTGTCTTTTGGCAGACTTTTAAAGGTTCATATCCCTCTTCATATCTTGGCTATAAATCTAGGGAGAACAATTTGTCCTTGTGCATTTATACTTTTCCCAGTTATAAAATAACATACAATATAATAAAATTTCAAACACATTCCTCTTCACAGGTTAGAACAAATTAATACATGCTTCCACCAGGCGGCCTGCGCAATGGTTTCATTAATGAGGTTCTTGGCATAAAAGTTAGCTAGAAGAGATAAAACACACAGACTCAGTTACCTTATTTCTATTGCCAGGTCCCAGACGGCTCCCCTCTCTGGCTCCAACCTCTAACCGCCCAGCAGGGCAGCAAGGATTACTCAGGGCTAGCAGGAGAGAGAGAGAGTGAACACGCCAGGGAGTAGCCTTTTATTGGGGAACAAGAAATTCAGGGGATAATTCCATCCAATGAAGGTCAGGGTCAGTGATTGGGCCCCCGGGGTCAGTGGTCAGTCACACCCCCACACGGACGGGTTCTCTCATCAGGAAAGGGCGGGAAAGTTCTGACACAGCCAGAACACCTCAGACCCTTAACGGGAGCCACCCAGTCACGTGTCAGGATGGCTTCCCACACATGCTCACTGTTAAAAAAAAAAAAAGAACTTCAAGAATAGAGAAAAATGTTCATTCACAAAAAACTTGTCATCTGGAAATAACTACTGTTAATATTTGGTGAGTGTACTTCTAGATTTCTGTATTTTATGTATATATGTGTGTGTGTGTGTATATATATATATATATATATATATATATTTATATATATACTTTGCATGCTTAAAAACACATCCACAATTTATACAGTTGGTGTGATACTATTCTGCATCTTGTTTCTTATAATATTGGCATCCTTCCATATTAGTTTACATCTTCCCTATCATCTTAATGCCTGCATAGTAACACAATGTGTTTACTTATGTTTGCTTATTAATGGATATTTAAATTGTTTATGGGTTTTTTGTTATAAGTAAAGCGTTAGTGAATATTTCTAGAGGGATAGTTTTTGGGATTTTTACAATTTTTTAGATCAAATCTCTAGAAGTGGGATTGCTGAGTCAAAAGTCATCTCTGTGTGTGCTTGTAAATGTTTAAAAATTGCCTTTTAGATTGTGTCAACTTACATTTCCACCTATACTACTTGAGTACGTTTCTTGTCTCTCATGTATGCTTCTGATACATTTCTCCATTTAAAGACTGAAGCACATATATCCAAGTAGCTTTTATTTATTTATTTATTTATTTTAAAATTTTTTTCTTAGTCATAGATGGATGCAATATCTTTATTTTTATGTGGTGCTGAGATTCAAACCCAGTGCCTCACACATGCAAGGTAAGTGATCTACCACTGAGCTACAACCCCAGTCCAACTTTTATTATTTATAATTTTTAAGCCATTAACTGAGACAGAGTCCAAGGCTCTGTATGGCTAAGTCAGTTAATGGTCATCTTTCTCCAGCATACTTTTTAGGATCATGGTCTTCTTCAATGGCTTTGTAATCCATCTAGCCTGCTACTATAAAACTAATGATAAAGACAAGCAGAACCCCAAAGATGTTTATTAGTGGATAGAAGAATTAAGAGTTGCAGAAAAAAGGTTCAAGATCACTACCAGCATGCAATTTCATAGACAGAAACTAAACATAAAACAGCAAGTCCTACCTACAAAAGTTAGAAATTTATTGAAGTTAGATGATATTGTAGTTTGGGGTCCTTTGAGTGCTCCCCCAGGCTTTTCCCATCTGATCATACAATTTGGTGATACAACGAAATATAACGTTTTAATTATGTTTATGGAAGAAGAACAATTTACATAGACATATTCCCAAGTTTAAAACTTGAACTTTTTTCTTAGTAGTTCTTAGGCTTATTTTTCAAGGTCCAATAGAAATTTGGTTTAATTATCGTACCTGTGTTTTTCATTATAGCATAAACGTAGTTTTACCTGCAAACTTCCTTGGATGGATTAGGCAACACCATGACTGAATGTAAATAATATGTTTGAGTAACAGGGAAATGTGTTGTTCATGATTTACTACCTAATATTAGAATAGGATTCAGTTACAATATGAATTTTATTTCTAAACTTTCTTCAGTAGATTTTTTTTTCATTGCCATTCAGCAATTAAATTCTCATACTTCTAATTTTTCAGCAGCACCCTTTCCCGTTTCTTGGATTGTAGAAAACCAATATTAAGTTGTCGAGATACTTAAACATGCATTTTTGGAGTAAATTCTGGAAGTTCTTGCAACTTTAAATTTATGATGGTTGATATAACAATGGAATTTTGTGGCTACTGTACATCTGGCTTCTTACTAATAGTAAAGTAGCAAAATACCTCATTAGGGCTTTATCCTTTGCTAAGTATCTTCGCCTCTATTAGTTTCTCCATACAGATATTCTGAAGAAGGTTTCTTTTTTCTTTTTTTTTCCAACCAAAAAGGCTTTACCTTTTAGTCTTCAAAAAACCAAACTCACAGGGCTGGGGCTATAGCTCAGTGGCAGAGCACTTGCCTTGCACGTGTGAGGCACTGGGTTCTATCCTCAGCACTACATAAAAATAAACAAATAAAATAAAGGCATTCTGTCCATCTACAACTACAAAAAAAAGGAACTGAATTAATTTCTTCTTTTTCCAAGATAATTATGATTAATTTAGAAATTTGGTCATACAATATATCTTGAAAGTATTTCCCTTTAATGGGAAAAATTATCCTTAGAGAACCTAAACATTAAAAGATTTAAAAAATATATATTTTTAAAATACTCAAGATTTTAAAAAATCTATTATAAAACAAAATGGAATCTAGTATAAGTCAAGGAAAATCATTCATCCTTCAGGTCCCTCTCCTTCAGGAACCAACATTGTTATATTCTTTCCATTAAGCAAAATCTTATCAGATTTAGTAATCCTTTTTCCTTCTGATGTCAAACTCAGTGACATCTTACAGCACCATATTGACAGTTAATCCTAGAAGAGTTCCATCAATTTCCTTATCATTCATCACAATATGAATTCTTGATCCTATACACTTGTCCACAAACTCTAGTGGCAGCAGGTGCATTATACTTGTGCTATACACTTGCTTTGTATACTTGTCTGTAAGCTCTAGTGGCAGTAGGCAGTGTTAGCCAGAAGTGGCCAGCATCCTGTAGTGGCTAAGCCAGAAGTGGCCAGCATCCTGTAGTAGATTTCTAATGTAAGCCAAATGCAAGAGAAGCAATGCAGTGCTTCTGACCTCCACCACTGAGTGAGGTCAGTTAGAAAGGCCAGGTTCCAGTTCTGTGTGACTTTGGAGAAATCCTTAACATCTCCACTTCATTATCTTTAAGACCTTTAAAAAGACCTTATAAAGGCCCTTCAAATATAAGATTGTATAAAAATAATTAATCAATTCATGTAAAATAAAATTTTACACCTTTTTTTTTTTTTTGCCAGTCATTCTACTTGCAAAGATAAAACTTGAACTTTTAGTTTTGAAACCCTGGTGACTATGCTCAAAATTTAGTAATATGGGGCTGGGATATAGCTTAGTTGATAGGGTGCTTGTCTCACATGCACACAGCCCTGGGTTCAATGCTCAGCACTATAAAAAAAATAATAATATGATACAGAAAGTAACAGAAGTCATTGTTATTTGACACGCAGAGAAGTTCAAGGTACACTCATATCTGAAATAGGTAAGAAGGTGATCACTCATCTCCAAATCTCACATCTAGTGCTCCTGTGGTCTCAGGCCTTTAGGGCTATTATAAACCTCAGAAATGGGGTTGAAAGAGCTCTAATTTTTACTTAATTTAGGTCAGTGTTGGGCTAGGCCCCAAAATGGCTGTAGTTAGGTTACCTAGCTGAGACTTCCGGCAAGCTGTTATGTTTCTAATGTGCAGCTAGGGCTAGAAACCAATTATGTTATGTTAAGTCAAGGCCAGAAACACTCTGATTCAGCTTTTATACTCAAGGTCATAAACATTAACTTATGAGCATGAGTCCTGCTCCCCTCCATCCCCATGTAACCTGTTGGCAGTGTGCCTTCTTTGATTTGCATATATAAAAAGGGCCTATGGGAAAGACTCAGGGTGAACTGGGCTAATGGGGGTAAAAATGGGGGCTGAAGCTGAAGCTGCAGACTGTGGCCATCGCTAAATAAAACCAAGCATTTGTTCTGTTGCTAGGCAATGCGGAGGAGGCGGGGCCCACGGAAGACCAGCGGGGTTTGGCCCCAAAGGGGCACGGGCCGCCGGACTGGCGGCCGCGCAGCCGCCCTTCCGCTTGGAGAGGCGCGCTCAGATCTACACCACGCCCCGCCCCCACCCACAAGCCGGAGCTGCGCAAGCCAGGTGAGAGCGGCCGCTTTCGCCCTTGCCGGGCTCACGCTGGGGCTGAGCATCAGGCTGGCGGCAGAGGCGCTGCATTCGGAGCCCTCCGGGAGCTGTTAAACTGGGCGGTCTCGAGGGCGGGGCACTGGGAGAAGAGGGCGGCC